AAAACTCCTGCAGAGTGGGGACATAATACATCTCCTTTACTTCTAGTTCTTTCCCATATAGTATTCAGTACATGACCAATTATAAAATGTATAATTCCATTTGCCATTGAATTAACTTGCTGATGCTAGAATGCAAATTTGAAATCAGAAATATACTTCTCAATTTCAGTGATTATGTAATTGATGAGGTATATTTTGGATTAAATGTAATATTTATGATATTTATAATTTAATAATGTAAAGAATGTATTGTTACGTAATTGCAATAAACTTGACAACCTTTTGTCTTGATTATAAGAAAAAGATATCATCCCCTCTATAACATCTAGATTAGAAGATAAATAGATAAGAAAAACTGTTCAGTAAAGTGGCAGATATATAGAATTAACTATTGTAGATATATATGCAATATCATATATAATAACTGAATCATCTACAAAACAAACAAAGGAATAAATAAAAGTATAAGGCTACAGGGCTGGCCAGATATAGGGCACATAGGTATAGTGGCAGCCTAGTAAGATTGAGTTAATTTACATTTTTATATACCAGGGAATTATCTAGGATTGATATCAAGATTATAAATGTCATTGTTTCTTATAGTAGGATGGAGTACATGTTGTTTATCATCAAATTATTTGTTACATCATTATTAACATATACCTTTTGGTCTGATGAAGTCTTCTGCTAATAAACTTTGCACTTTCTCATGACAGGTTCCATTCTGTGACAGTGGCGAACAAACAAGCTTCTTGGACACTGCAACTGATGCTGTCAAGGTTGACTGCTCTGGGGTTAGTACTCAAAATCTGGAGTTTAGTCTTGTTTATTGATTATTACACAATTAGTTATTAATCAAAAATCAAATATGTTCGTGTACTAGTGTCATATAGTGCATATGGATGAGAATTCATGACTGTTCCATTTTCAGGTGGTGGGATATTTGGCAGTGTATCGATTATGCTTTGCGATGTCGCTATTCTTCTTCTTTATGGCCCTGATTATGATAGGAGTCAAGTCCAGCAAGGATCCAAGAGCAGGCATACAGAATGGGTAAGTTTGTTTTTGTTTTTGTTTTTTTTTACCCACTAGCACTGGTACAATTTGAAGGGACGGTCCCCTTAAGGCTACCTCATGAGTACAAGTGATGTGTTTGCTCTCTCTCTCTCTCTCTCTCTCTCTCTCTCTCTCTCTCTCTCTCTCTCTCTCTCTCTCTCTCTCTCTCTCTCTCTCTCTCTCTCTCTCTCTCTTTCTTTCTTTCTTTCTTTCTCTTTCTTTCTTTCTTTCTTTCTTTCTTTCTTTCTCCTATCTCTCTCTCTATCTCTCTCTCTTTCTCTCTCTCTATCTCTCTTCTCTCCCGTCTCCAATTCTCTTGCATCTATTTATAACCCTACCATCCTCCTAATTGTCACACTCAAATTCCACAGATTTTGGGCCATCAAATACCTGGTTCTCATCGGAGCAATCATTGGAGCATTCTTCATACCCCATGGGCAGTTCGGACAGGTGTGGATGTACTTTGGTATGATTGGGGGCTTCCTGTTCATTCTGATCCAGTTGGTACTCATCATCGACTTTGCACACTCCTGGGCCGAGTCCTGGGTCGACCGCTATGAGGAAACTGAGAGCCGCGGATGGTGAGTATCAGAGATGTTTATTTATTGTTATCCTTTATTCTGTTTGTTTTGTGGGTGTGGTCTTAGTATGGGGGTTATTTAACATTTATGAAGGTATTTCATATCCCTTTAGCAGTGTCTTATAATTTTTTATGTTCAACTCATTAGTGAAACTATTATTTGAAGATAGGAAGCTATCATTTATTTGCTCGTTTGATTTTCTCCCCCCCCCCCCCTCCTCCTCTTTTGTTGTTGTTGCTAAATGTACTTGAAGACAGATTTATCAATAGAGTCAAATCAAATTTCACATATTGTATATTTCTCCCTAATTTTCCTAAACGTCTTCTCATCAGGTATTGTGCTCTGCTGTCCTTCACCTTCCTGCATTACGCCCTGGCCATCACTGCTGTTGTTCTCTTCTATGTGTTCTACACCACCGTAAGTATATTTTTTTTCTTAAATTTTATGGAATTGAGATTTCTCTGAACTGCTTTCTTTCTTTTCTAAGGGTATACCCAAATAAGCGATATATGGATAATGCAATAGTTCAGAATTGGTCTTTTCTGAGGGGTAATCTGTGAAATATGTGGTTGAAGAAATAAAACAAGGATTTCTTTTTATTGTTAATATAGTCATCCTCATTATTGTTATTTTCACTGTCACCACCATCATCATTCACCTCTTCCTCCTTAATAATTGGCTTCCTTTTTTCTTCCCATAGTATGAAAGCTGCAGCCTCCACAAGTTCTTCATCTCCTTCAACCTGATCCTGTGTGTGATCATCAGCATCATCAGCATCCTTCCCAAGATCCAAGAAGCACAGCCACGATCTGGCCTCCTCCAGGTAGGTCATCACCCTTCTAGTTTATGTAGTAATGGGTTCTGGAGAAAAATAACTTTTAGGCCTTTATGATTATTATTATTGTTATTATTGTTTTTATTATTATTATTATTATTGATGTTGTTATTGTTGTTGTAATTCTCTTCTTCTTTTTGCCAAAATATCATGGAAAAAGTGATTGCATTCAGACTTCCTTCTCATTTTTATCTTCTAGAGGTTTCAAATATTTATTTCCTCATTTTATGTTCCAGGCTTCAGTTATCACCCTGTACACCATGTATCTGACCTGGTCTGCTATGACCAATACCCCTGACAAAGAGTGCAAGCCAAACTGGGTCTCTGTAATTAATGGAAATGAGCCAACACCTGCTCCAGAGGTAAGAGTCCGACAGTCAGCGTTTGGCATGGTAGATTGATTTGTTGTAGTTTTTAGAAGATATTGAGAAATTTATTTATTTTCTGACTTCTTATTGTTCTTCTTCTTCTTGTTCTTCCCTCTTTCTTTCTTGCCTTATTCTTCACTCCTTTGTCTTCATCTTATGTTTTTGCTTTATGTTTTGTCTCAAGGGCATTGTGTCCCAGAGATTGTTTGTCTAAATGTTTTCTCCTTTTTCTGATGTTATGAATGCCTTTCTGTTGTAACTATGATAATTTTCTACTTTCATGACTGCAATTTCTAGTCTGAGGCACGCTTCAGGCACAGACGTTATTATGTGAGTTTCTTTGCGATGAATTAGCCACTAACTCGGCTAGGAATAGCTACCCTAACCCCATTGCTTCTTGCCCTCATCACTGAGATGTCTGTTAATCTCTCTCTCTACCTGCTCATATATTTACACATACAAATTTAAAATCTTTGTGTATTGTGGGTGCAGAGGCTGATGGTGGTGCTGCTTGTGTCGTGTGTTGTGTGATGTGTGATTCAATATGTGTGTGCGATATCAACTATAAAACTTCCAGAATGTGTGTGTGTTAGTGTGATGTGTGTGTCTGTGTGCTGTGTGTCTGTTATTCTGTCTGAATATGTGATTATTTTGAGTAGCATGAGATTATACTGGTAGAATATAGATGGTATGGTAGATGCCTCCAGATGAAGACTCCTATGGTATACTTAAGTTTATAATTTATGTGTTATGTACTACACGTAATGTACATTGTTGTTACAGGTGCTTTCTTCCATATAATATCAGACATTAACAGATTACAATGCACTACAAACCAGATGACATCAGAATATGATCTTACGATCACACTACATCAAAGAATTAGTGCACGATTGGACTACGTATTGCCTAACATACAAGAACAAAATAACATAAGCAAAAAAACTTACAAATTTTAAAACAACACGACACAGATGCACACATTACACACAGCACACACAGTGCACAGTCCAACGACATCTATCCGACACACACACCACAACACACACACACACACACACACAAGCTGTACACTACACACGTACACTCTACACACACCACACACCACTACCACCACCACTGACACCCACACCACACACAGACGGAAACACAAACACACCACTTACCTACAAAACATAACACTATCTTACACAAAAGTCCAACACCGGACGTCTTAACAAAAACACAACACTTTTACACAAACACACGATTCACTATAACACAAAAGAACACATACTTCACTTTACACAATAATCGACACACCCATGTTCATTACTTTACAATACAACACACCGATTACAGGCCAAACACACTATACTACCAAACACACATCACACAACACACACTTCATCAACCACATACACACACCATCACACACACACCCACACAATACACAATACACACATCACACACACACACACACACACACACACACACAACACACACACACATCACACACACACACACACACATCACACACACACACAACACACACACACACACACACACACATCACACACACACACACACATCACACACAACACACACACACACACACACACACCACACACACACACACACACACACCACACACACACACACACACACACACACACACACACACACACACACACACACACACACACACACACACACACACACACACACACACACACCACACACACACACACACACACACACCACACACACACACACACACACACACACATACCACACACTACACACACACACACACACACACACACACACACACACACACACACACACACACACACACACACACACACACACACACACACACACACACACACACACACACACACAAAAGAAATTCATACATATTCTTTACCGACCTTGGCTTTGATCTCAAGGAAGTTGGGCTCGAACCCTGAACACATACAAGTGTAAGCACAACAGACTGCTAGTGTAAGATTTGATGGCTTTGTCTGCATTTACAAGAATTTTTCTTCCTTCTCTCATTTCTTTGCTCTCATTTTCTCCCTTCTCTCATTTTTTCACTCTCAGATAAGGGAGACCAATTTATGAGAACTGTTTGTTAATGCTTTTTGCGTGTTTTTCTTTCAGCGATTTGCGGATGGATGACTTGGTTAGGGAATCATGATTTTTGTTATTATTTTGTATTTGTTATTATCATTATTATTATTGTTGTTGTTGTTTGTATTCATTATCAATCCATATCATCATCATAATGTTTTTGTTTACATATTTTCCACGATACCTTATCGTTATTATAATTTTATCCATACTTTGCAGGGTGAAGAACCCAAGTTTGATGGAGAATCAATTGCATCACCTGTCATCATCTGGTTTCTGACTGTGTCCTTTACTCCTCCATGCGCACGGCCTCCAACTCCCAGGCATCACGGACACGGCATGACCATGTCTGACAAAGTGCTCCTCAAGGATGACTCAAGTAAGTGGAGATTTTCTTTGTCAGTCTTCTGGTTATTCTGGAATAGGGCACACACTGGCATAAACACACACAAATATATACACACGCCCTTAGACATACACACACAGAGACATAACATACACACAAACATAGACGGATACACACAGACATCCACAGACATACACAGATACACACAGACACACACAATCACACCACACCACACACAAACCGATCACATACACCGACACATACACACAAACACACAAGCCCAACACCACAGCGACACACAAGCACGATCACCACTACGAATCACACCACTACACACACATCCAACACCACATCGACAGCGAACGATCGTAAAACACACCACACACCACACACACACACACACACACAACACAATATACTTTTATGTAAGTTAGGTATATTTTTCTGATATGATAGAGGCCGCCAATGATTGATTGATTATGGAGTGAGAAACCTATGCATGCAATGATAGGTTCGCATATTTTATGCGACATTAGTGTGTGTCATATAACCACACTTTTAATTGTAGAGACATTTTTAATCTTTATTATCCACTTTAACTGATAAGTGTATCCTTTGTTATTATTTTATTTTTGAATGCGTTTCGCAGCTGTGCTTATGCTTGAAACCTGATGTTCATCAATATTAAGTCCAGGTCTATTACATGATCTCTACCACCCAATACCAACCATTAAAGCTGGTTCCTTCCTCTTAAAAGGTTTACGAGATTACAGAAAACAATAATCTGTTTAGGCGAGCGATAAATGGCATATATAAAATCCTCTATAAGAGGCAGTTAACTGAAATCAAATAAAACTAAATATCAAAGTGTAAAAATCAGGGTTAAGTCCTTTTGTGCCGTTTGAGGGTATATATATTGCATCTTGGTGGAACTCTCTCTCCTCTCTCTCTCTCTCTCTCTCATACTATTTCCTCTCTCTCTCTCTTCTCTCTCTCTCTCTTCTGCTTCTCTCTCTCTCTCTCCTCCTCTTATATGCTACTCTCTTCTTCTCATTTCTCTCTCTCTGTAGCCTTACCCCATCTCCTCTCGTCTCTCTCTCTCTCCTCTCTCCACTGCCTATCCTCTCTCTCTCTCTCTCTCTCTTCTCTCTCTCATCGTCTCTCTCCCTCTCCTCTCTTCTCCTCTCTCTCTCTCTCTCTCTTCGCTCTCTCTGCTCTGCTCTTCTCTCTCTCTGCTCCTTCTCTTCCCTCTTGTCGCCTATCCCTCTCTCTCTCTCTCTCTCTCTCTCTCTACTCCTCTTCTCTCTCTGTTCTCCTCTCTCTCCTTCTCTCTCTCTCTCTTCTCTCTTCTCTCCCTTCTCTCTCTTCTCTGCTCTCTCTCTCTCTCACCCCCCTCTCTCACCTCCCTCTCTCTCTCTCTCTCTCTCTCCCTCTCATCTGCTCTCTCTCTCTCTCTCTCTCTCCTCTCTCTCTCCTCTCGCTCTCTCTCTCTCTCCTCTCTCCTTCTCTCTCATCTCTCTCTCTCTTCTCTCTTGCCTTCCCCCCCCATCTCTTCTCTCTCTCTACTCCTGCTCTCCTCATCTTCTCTCTCTCATTCTCTCCTCTCTCTCATCCTCTCTTTCTCTCTCTCTAGCCTTTCTTTAGAATTTCACATTTTCCTTCGGCGGCTCTCCTCTGCCTTTGCTTTTTGTTGTTGAGCTTTATTTTTTCGAGTGTCTCTCTCCTTTATGTCCTAATATTACACTATGGTCAAAAATTGACTGGCGGAATACTCTCTCCTCTCTCCTCTCGTTCTCTCTCCTCTCTCTCTTCACCCCCTCTCTCTCCTTCACCCCCTCCATTGCCTCTCTCCCTCTTCACCCCTCTCTCTCTCACCCCTCTCTCTCTCTCTCTCTCTCTCTCTCTCCTCCTCCTCGTCTCTCTCCCTCTCGTCATCTGCTCTCCTCTCTCTCTCTCCCGTCCTCTCGTCTCCTCTCTCTCCTCCTCGCTCTCTCTCTCTCCCCCCGCCCCCACATCCCCCCGCCCCCCTCTCTCTCTCTCGCCTCCTCCTCTCTCTCTCGCTCTCTCTCTCTCTCTCTCTCTCTCTCTCTCTCTCTCTCTCTCTCGCTCTGGCTCTCTCTCTCTTTTCATTCCTCTATCTCTCTCTCTCTCTCTCTCCTCTCTCTCTACTTCTCTCCTCCTTCTCTCTCTGCTTCTCTATTCTCTCTTCCAATTCCTCTCTCTCTGTCTTCGTCTCTCTCTCTTGCTCTCTCTCTCTCTCTCTCTCTCTTCTCTCTCTCTCTCCTGCTTTCTCCTCTTTCTCTCTTTCTCTCTGACCATGAAGTGTAGCGGCGATGTTTTTAGAATTCTTATAGAAATTGAGGTCTTCACCTCTACGGCATTCCATTCTAGTTCTAGTGACTTCTATTATCTACTTGTTCGAATCCCTGTGATCTCTATGTCTTGTCTTTTGCATTCTGAGATTCAGCAGCTAGGTTATAAGTATATTTTGCCTGGAACTTAATACTTTCGTATCAGTCATAATTGTTGTCTTCGTGGTTTTGTGATAGTTTACCATGGCTTTCAGTTTTGCTGAATTTCCTAATACATTTATTCACTACTGATTATCCTGCTCTTTACTGCTACTTTACTTTAGCCCCAAAATATGAGCAATAAGTGTTTTCAAGATTACATGTCTTCCCAATCTTTTGTTGACCACAAGGAAACCAGTCCTGGACCACAGGTTAAGACATTATTTTCTAACTGTATATTTCTATCACAAACACATCATATCCATTTTCAGAAATCACATAGAAAGTGTGACATGTATCAGCACATACCACTTTTTAGATTTTTTACTTTCTTCATCATTGATTGGCTTGTATGTGCTATTTGTGCATGTTTCCTTTGCATTAGTTTGCATTTGTGTTAGCCAGTGTAAGTGTATGGAAATTAATTTCAAGTTTTATAGCTAGAGTGAGCAGAAAGAAATATTGATCACTAAGGCAGATATAGAGGAAAATGTATCAGTCTCTTCCAACTTTTAATTCTTAATATTATTCACACTTGAGATTCAAAGACCAAGCTGGAAAAATAGAATAAGCCCCTTATCACATTTGAATTATTTATTAAAGAAGATTACACATGGAAATGAGATATGATTGTCATAAAGTAGTCAGGATAGTTATTGCCTGTGAAAAAACTGTTTCATGTGCTTTTTAAGATCCATAGAGATTATCTTCAGAGATTGGCCAGAGCCAGTAGATGCACTGAGGTGTGTTTAGTGTAGAAAGTCTTCTCCATACACGGGAACAAGTAAAGAAGGATCATCCAACTTTGTTATTATATTGCATTAGGATCACCAAGTGCAGAAAGATTATGCCAAAATTGCCTGCTCATACCTAGTAATTCTGTATATTAATGTGCTTTTTGTTGTCTATGGCACTTCTTGTATTTGCTTTTATGAAATTTGAAAACTCCAGATTTTTAAATAAATAGTCCTTGTAAAAGACAGTTGCATTAACTCCTACAATCTGGATGACGTTACGGTCCCTTTGTGGAAAAATCTGGGTTGAGGGCTGGGTGACATGAACATGCGATCAATCAGACAAAATGGCTGCAGGCTAGGTGACACGAACTTGCCGTCATGAGCAAAGGCCAGGGTGAAGGAAAAGACCCATGGTGAGTGCTGCTGTGGAGTCTGATCAGACTCATTTGGCGCTTAAAAGAGCCAGGAGTCGGATGAACAGAACCTGCCGTCATCGAGCAAAGCCATTGTGTGAAGGAAATAGACCCATGTGCTGGGAGTGCTGCTGTGGAGTCTGATCAGACTCAATTTGGCGCTTAAAATGAGGCTCTTGCATTAGGATCATGAATAATGATTATATATTTTTTTGTCTTTTTTTATGAGGCATCATCATGTGATTTAGAGTGGTTCATAGTAGATTGGATCTTGCAAAATCATTATAAAAGACTCTAGGGATGTAGGGTATTTTTTCTTCTTCCTCTCTCTTTCTGTCTATCATTTGCACAACAGCAGTATGACTTTTTAACTAGAGCTTGGTAATGGTATTTTACTACTTTGTCATCCTTTTTTAGCCTTTCTTTTCTTATGTAGTTCTTTATTAGGATTGGAAATATAAAGTAGGAGAACAAAATTTTTTGTAATTTGTCTTTTGCATTATAGTAGGTTTAGCTTCAGCTCCAGGGGTAGTTGAGTAAGTCATACAAAAGACAATAGACAAAACATGCTGTGATATAAAGAAATCATAATGCCTCTTTGTTTTGTTTTGGTTTTGTTATGTAGCCCATATATCTACATTTACCATTAATACTATAAAAGATACTGACAAAGGCGGTTCCTAACTACCTAACATGCAGCTGCCCGTAGGAGTCTGGGCGACATTCCCCTCGTGTCCAACGAGGTTTTGCAAGGTAAAAAGTAGAAAAACACATAGCGCACTTTGCATGTCTTTAACTAATCCAGAGAAAATGCCAGGCTGATGTTTGATTTAAAGACATTTTTGAGTGAGCAAAAGATTTTTGGCTACTTGGCTATTTTACGAAATGGAATTTTTATTTGTATTATATTTATTTTTAGAGTATGTAGATCTGTGTACTTTATATGATATATATGATATATATATATATACATATATCTTCAATATAATAATAATATATATAGTATATATATAGTTGGTGTGAAATCAAGCTAAAATAA